GTGTTTTTTTTTCTGAACAGGAGGCCTACCAACTATCTCAAGATGTTCAATTCTAAGAATAACGGTACCTACAGGTTTTGCGTTTCTACTTACATTATTCAATAAGTTAAGAGTTATCGAAAAAAGACGTGTGAAGTAGTCATTGGATTGCCTATCTTATTATATAGGTGCGTGCAGTGACGCCCAGATAGACGTGCTCTAGAGAGGAGTGGCGTCATAATATAAGGAAGTTTATACAACAATAGTATAAACTTTAGTCAATAATAATTTATTTCCTTGTAATACAGTGGTTAATAAATTAGATAATTAAATAAATTGAGTATCTAAGACCTAAGTGCGCTGTGCGCAATTGAGTAGAGAGTGCGACAAAAACATATTTTTAAATAAAAAAATTGGGTGGGTGGGTGGTTAAATTTTTTCAAAAATCTCTGTTTGCTACTGGGTACTCCTCGCTTCACGCAATGGTTTTCCAACTTGAACATTTTATTTTTGAAATTTAATTTACGTATAAATGTATTGTTATATGTGTTTAAGACGATACAATATAGGTAATAGTATCAAGATGTCATTATAAAGTTTAGTTTTTTTAACATTAAAAGTCTTAAATGAGATATGATTCTGCTATTTTTATCGTCGTTTTTAAATGGTATATGAACTTAGAAACCTTGTATTAAACTTTCAACCTTTTTTTGGTCGAGTACAAAACGTTGAAATACGTAATTTCCTATCAATAAGGCTTAGATTCCAAGATAAGAGGGACAGTCAAGAGATATAAAACAGGAGGAAATCGTAAGTTCCTACACGAGAGTAATAGATATAATATTACATATGTGATATGTTAGTTTCTAAACGAAAAACAAGATATACGTGTGCAGTTAGTTCCTATACACGGTGGAAGACAAATACATATATATTTTAAAAATATACTATATTTTACATAGTATTATAAGTTTTATCTTCATACATTTTAATAGTAAGAAAAAAAACCACATTTTTATAATATTATAACTATAATAAGTTATCAAATTAATGATATTAAAATTATGTTTAGAAAAATATACTAGTGTGGGGTAAGTGATGAAATGATAGGTATAATTCACTTGTTTCAATCGCTATACATGGTAAAACTATAAAACTATAGAATTTATGAATATACATATATTATAATGATAGCTTATCGATAAAGCTGAAAAGATAATTTATCCATTGAAAACTTATAATTATAAATTATATTATTTTTTAGAATGCAGTACCTACATATATATTTTTTACAATTACCTATGAATTATTTGTATTATATTATATATTATATTAAATATGCCAATATCATATGATATAACTGATATTAAATTGATAACTTATAAATTATATAATAATATACGCAGTGTGTAGTTTCTATACATACGTACCTTTTTTTTGTCGTGTAGGAACTTACATATGTACCTATTTTTTACTGTGTAAGTGTGTAGGAACTAATAACATATGTATTTTTTTTTACCTGCTAGGTCTCGTGTAGGAACTTACATTCGCTCAAAGCAGGTATCTATTGCACGTGAGGTTAGGTATATTAGTACGGGAGACTATTATAATATTTGATAGATGAAAGATGATCTAAATTCTTTATACTATTATTTATTATGCTTATTACACCAGTTTGTAGTTTGTATTGGTGACTTGGTGTTGTGAACAAAATTAAAATGTCAAGGGATCTATTATTGTGTGTGAAAGCCAATCATTTTGTGTTGGCCTATGTCTTATCACAAAATATAACAAAAACATATATCCAGGGCTGGTTCTAGCTTTTTCACCACCCAGTGTAAGTATTATTTCAGCACCCTTCGCCCTATTTTTAAACATATAAACAGGCAACCACCCTCCCCCCTCCGATTTTTGCACTCCTGTGCCATTGCACACGTCGATTGCTCGATTGTATCTAAAATGTT